AAAAGGAAGATTAAATGTTCAAGAAATTATCCGATGCATATCAGTAAGTACATTTATATAGTATTATCATCAATTACAGTTTATATTTGTGAAATTTTTAACTAAAAAAACAAATATGAAATACTAAGGAATTTTCTTTAATTACTTATAGCATCGTTTCCTTAATTCAAAAAATAAATTTCTTATCTTCTTATCTTCTTGAGAAAGAAAAAAATGAGTAATCGGTTATTATTCATAAAAATGTTTTAATATTTTTCTTTGAATTGACTTATTTCAAATTGAATCAGCATTAGAACTGAATAATGGTACTCCATAATTTTCTTTTAAAATTTTATTAAATTTGTTTCCAAATTATTGAATTGTAAATTCACTGTCACATGCTTTCTTTTACTTTTCTAAATTTTAATCCTTGAGCGCATGAGCTTATTAAGGTATTTTCTTTCTCCTCCCTGCAGGCCTTCCTGGTGTAACGGTAGCACACTCGGCGAGTATTTGAGAAGTCCAGGTTCGGGTGCCGAGGAGGGCATTGGTAATTTTTCATGTGTCCTGTTCCATAAAAAAGCCTAATGACTCTTCAGTGGCGCCCGAACTAAGAAGTGATGGATGATGATTCTTCACCACCAGGATTTGGCAGTTGTGTCCCCCTAATCCACAGTCGACCTTCAAAACTTTCTTTACGTTCTCCCTCCTTTCTGCATGCCTTCGGGGTGTAACAGTAGCACATTCGGCGCGTATTCGAGAGGTACAGGTTCGAGTCTCGATGAGGGTATTGCATTTTTCACGTCTCCTGCTTCAAAATAACCTAATGACTCTACAAACTATAGTGCTTTAGCAAATAGAATAAAATTTTAACTTTCGAAAAGCTAAATATTAGACATTTACGATTTCTTAGCTTTTATTTATTTTAATGACAGAATATATTTCCTTATAGGATTTATCTTTTGTAGAAAAGATGGAGACACCGTCAATTAATAAATCCGGATGCACTGCATCCGGAATATGTCTGCACATTAAGTAGTTCAGTAAAGGCAGTAATAAAAACGACTTTTAACTTTAATGAAAACTAAACTTCTCTGTTCGTTTCGGCGGGAATAATGCATTAAAATTAGCGAATCTGACAGGAGAAATACTTAACGAACAACTGGCGATCAAAATTTATTATCGGTAAAACTCTTCGCGAAAGGCTATAAATATGAAACTCCTTCCTTCGATAACATCAACTACGATTTATTTCCCAAGTTATTCTTCTCAAAACCCTGTTCCTTCACTACAACTGTCACAATAGTTTCTTCTTTTCAAAAGCCGCTTTCATGTTTAGCAACGCATTAAAATCGATTGCAATCTCAATTAAAATTTACACCGTCCCATTCTTTTTACGCCTTGGGCAAACAATACGCAATCGGAGATACTACATTAGGTATTGCTAATTCATCGCTCTTATTCCAGGACTGCTTGATGAAAGGCATTTATAATGGATTATGAAGGAGGTACAGCTCTTCCCTTTAATGCCGTAAATGGGCGGCGAGTGACACAGCCACCTTCTTTTCTTTCGCCTCCCCCTATGGATATCCTTTAAGTCTTTCGGCTGGGTGAAACTAGCAAGTGTTTCATTCCTGATGTCTTCAGAACCGAGATTAACGGGATTGTTGACGGTAGGGTGAGCTTGATCCTCGATAATCAGCCAGTGAAACCTAGCTTGGCCCTGGAAAATCCATCATTTATTTTCTCTCGATATTTCTTTTGTTTCATTTCAGTTTGAGGATATTTCATTCTGCGCTTATAGAAACAGATTATGCATTAAATCGCACAGCGAATAAATAAAGGATTTAAAATTTACTTCGAAAAGGAAATATTTTTCTCTAAATATATAGTTTTTAGAAACCAGTACTTATTATTTTTTACGTTTTGGAAATATTTCTGTTGCGAAGGAATATGTAATCTTGTGCACAGTAATAACAAATGCTATGAAATGATATTTAGATTCAAGAGACAGTTTGTACTTAAATAAATTACCATCTGGCTATATGGGAGTATACTTGGCTGCATGGGTTATATGGCTACATGGGACTACAGTAGCTGACTATATGGGACTACAGTAGCTGACTATATGGGACTACAATAAATTTGTTATCTGGCTATATGGGAGTATCTTCTTCTAAAGCTAGTAATTTTTTTTAGTTTTTATTTTACTGGAAAAAAAGGCTATGGAGAGATATTATACGAGTGTAACAGATTTTATCTCCTGGCTTATAACTACTTAAGCACTTTCTGAAGTTGATTCTATTCGTGAAAAAAGCCTTTATTTGAATTTTTTAAAAGCAATTAAATATACAAAGAGACAGTTTTAATTGTTGCTATTTTAAAAATTATTTATGTTTTGGGTTATTTGAATATGCCAAACGATACGGCCTGCTGGCCTACGGGAATGGATGCCTTCTTAGAGGATTTTCTAAGCAAAACTGGTTCTTATTCTCGTTACAGATGAGAAAATCTACAAAACCAACTAAGCAGCCATACCGTTCGTCTGGTTTCTAACTCGGGTCTAACTATCAATATTCAGAGATGTTAACCACTCGCTAGTGGTGGGGCTAAAAACATCAATGAGGGAAAAAGCTTTACAAACTAGTCAATAAACTAAGTGCACTTTCTCCTAATCGTTGGACAAAATATCCAACCCTAAGTATTGTTCACTGTAAGAGAAATTCTTATCGTTGTTCATTATAACAGAATATTACTAAATGAATTTTGAAAAGGGAATATGCTTTGTGAGTATCTAATGAGAAATGCATGAATTCATGCATTTTTCAGCTCGAAACAAGTAGGAAACCTCTCCGATATTATATCAACAAACATATTCATTTATTCATAATCCATTTTAGAGATGAAATAGATAAGGATTTCGAGGCAATATCATTACTCTTATGTTAAGTTATTTGAAATGCACTGAATCTGAAATATTTTAGAAGTACTGTCGGATTCTGAAGGGGCGATATTTGTGTAGTTCAATGCAATACAAGAAATTGTTTTCTTTTAATATCAGCTCATTTTCACTTAATTTTCAATTTATAAGTCAGCATCCGAAAACATACCTCATATTATCTCGAAATAAGTTAATGTGTAAACTTTGCTAAAGTATAAATAATGTTCATCTGATGTAACAAATCTGAACTAATGAAGACTACGCTAATGAGATGCCACTGATTAATGAAACTTCAAAATTCATTAGCATCTTCGGACTTAAAATCGGGTTGTAGCCTCGGTTAAAGCTTACGTGCTTATGCATTACAGTGTAGAGATAAAGTTTTATTTTTACTATAGTCTTTGAATGTTTTCCATTTACGGATTGGGATACTGATTACTATTTATAACAAAGCATACTGGAACTATTTGTTTAACAAGAATGCCTTACTGGAGGACTTTCTAAAGAAATCTGACCTTTAGAAATCATGAAAGTCCTATGAAGCGAGACTGTATGTCAGTCAAAAACCAAGGGAATTACCTATTTTTCAAAGATTTTAGCCGATGGTTACTTGTGCGGGTTCTGCATGAAAAAAAGACGAAAAGTAAAAAGATACATACAATGATTACGTTACTCTCGGAAAATTCTGAACTGTTACTGAAACTTTAGCTGCATTCGTTTAAATAAGCGACTAAATTTAATATAGTTTTTAACTATTTTCAAGAAAAGAAGCCAGCTTGTTTCGATGGACAACAACAGGTATCCTCCATTTAGCGAAATTATTTCTAGTTGATATGAATTACTAATTACGGAAAGTTACTTAGTAATTTGAGGATAACAAACATAGCAAATTACTGATTTTGTTCAAGGTCAATGGGATAAAAATATTCCTTGAACACAGTTAAAAATCTTTTTCAGAAATATCTTTTGGATCAAAAATATAACACTGTAATTTCATAAAGGTGTGTCTACACTGCAAGGCACTAAGAAAAATTATTTATTTATTGAAAATGTTTGTCACTTTTCATTTCGAAAAAGCAAATCGTTTGGAGTACAGATTTTCCTTACTTTTGAGTTCCAGCATTTTTACTGTGAAAACACCGTCATCTTTCATCAAAGTTCTGTTCTAAGCTTTCTTCCTCGTAATTAACCATGATATCTTGAAATATGAATTTGCTTTTTATCTATGTACTTGTTTTAAATGCGCATATTAATTTAATTAACGACTGCAGAGACGATTCTCTACTTTCCTGCTTAAGAATACACTCTGTTTTCCAAAGAAAGAAAGTACAGAGTTCCTTATAAGCATAAATATATTATATATATATAAAAAAATCGATAAACGAATCAAATCAACTATCTTAAAGAAAATTAAAATTTTTTAGCGTTCATACTTGCTTTTTCGAACTTCTTAATTAAAGCACAGTGTGTCCATATTTTATTCACAGGAGAAAATATGTTTTAAATAATACATAATAAGATATAGGGGAAAAGTCTGACACAATTTTATACAGCACTTCAAAGAATTGCATATTAAATCCCTTTTACATGAGCACCATTAGTTACTCGAAGAATATCAAATATGTTTACAGTCTTCCTTTTCGACGCTATAAAGTATTTTAGCCTCTTTTCCACATGCTTTCGTAGTGTCACAGGAAGAACGCTCGACGTTTATTCGAAAGTGCTGGTTTTCGAATCCTGGTGGAGGCACTGAGGATTTATTCAGTTTCCTTACTTCGAAAAAAATTCTACAAGTGGCGCTCGAACTAAAACTTGGTAGACGATAATTTTTCCCCACCAGGATTTGGCGATTGGGTCTATATACGCTCCCCTTTAAAGGGCGATTGGGTGTTCTGAAACCCAATCGCCCTATAAAAGGGAGCGTATATAAAGTATTTTCTCTCTCCTTTCGGAATTACCCGAGAGCACACTCAATTCGTATTCGAGAGGTCCGGAATTCGAATCCCGGCGAGGACACTGCCCATTTTTAACACTCCTGCATCGATATAACCTGATCATTCTAGAATATTATTAAGCTTACCGTTATATGTGGTAGATGTTACAGTGGTGCTTCGATTTTTTTTTTAATTCCTCGATGCTGCCAATCTCTGAAGCATAATCTCGAATCTTCAGGTTTCCCCAGAAAAAGAAGTAGAGTGGTGTGACGTCTAGAAAACGCGATGGCTGTGAAACTGGTCCACTTCTACCAGTCCAACAATCTGGGAATGTTTCATCAAGGAAACACATGCATGTGTAGAGCAATGACAGGGATACCATCCTGCTGGAAAAAAAAAAGTTTTGCTGTATTTATTATAATTTTGCCACAACAAACAATCTTTACATATCAAAATAAAGTCCAAATTAATTAATGACTCTGTGAAAAAGAAGGAACCAATCACTTTGTTATGAAAGAAGTGCACACTAAACGTTTATTTAAGGACTACCTCGCTCAGTTTCTCTTTCACAATGCAGGTTTTCCAAAATTCTGCAGTTAATTCGATTAACCTCTCCTGAAACAGGAAATGTTGCTTCATCACCGAATACGATTTTCTGAAGAAATTAATAATCATTAGAAAATTCGCTGCGGACGACTCGACCATTAGATTTGATTTGTTGACAAATCTGTAATTTATACGAAGTCAGTTTCAACCATTCAAGAACAATTTTATGAGCAGTCGACCTGGGAATTCCTGTTTGTAGGCTGGCACGGCGAATGGATTTACTTGGACTGCGCGCAAACACATCCCCACCAGAATGGCAGAAATATTTTCATCATTGACTCTTGATCTACCTGCGCCTCCTTTATGTCCGGTCTCTGGAAACTGTTTTAGCCATCTTTTAATTGATTGTTCCGTTGGTGGAGGTTCATTAAATTCACATCGTAATCGCCTCTGAGCTGTTTTCGGAGATTTCGTTTCCCCTAACCAGAGAACGCACATTGCGTTATCACTGCTTGGTGCCAGTTTATCTGTAAGTATACAAGTTCCCTGTTGTTATCACCAGAAATTAGAACAAATGAAATTCTTTGAACTAAAGATTATATCGACATAGATTATGTCCGGTTTCCTCGTAAAATTGCGTTTCAATTTTTATTTTGCGATCCGGTGATTAAATTACGTGCACCTTATATGTTTCTGAATATGAGCCGGTCTTTGTATAAATCGAGAGTTAAGATTTTGCTGCGCAAATTCAGCCATAATTGAAAACTCATACATAAATCGAATTTTAAATTACCTCATACATCCATCTGCAATTCAGCAGAAGCTCGATTAATTCGTCGATTAGCTTAATTATATCCATCAGACAAGTAGAAGTTACCGTTAGTCATCTGCGTAAGTCATAGTATATGAGATATAAGCATAAGGCAAAATATACGCATCGGCAATACGGATTGCATAAGGGAAAGTGTGCGAGTATATAATATATTTGTTTTCGTGGAGTACGTTCTAAAGGAAAATAGTTCTTATTTGTGTTACATATTGGGGAAAACTTCGAAAAACAACTGTGCAACCAAACCGTTTGTCTGGATTAAAGATACTGTCGAATTCCCAGAATTCGGTTACGGGTGAAAACATCATGGACAAAAACGCCCTCGTGCAAAACATTGTAAGAAAAGAGAAACAAGGAGAGAACATCGCAATTCTAAAACATCGTTGTAGAATAGAAAATGGTTTGTAACACATCGCATTTTTGAAAGATCGTCATACAAGACATACCGATAAAAAATAGAACACTTACATATAATCGCATGATAATAAATCGCAGACATGCGTCTTCTAACCATTAAAAATTCAAGTGAATTTTAGTTCAATGATCTGTAAGCACAAGATAAACTAATAATTTTTATCTTTATATTTCATATATTTTATTTAATAAGTTTTTACTAAAAAGGCAAGAAAGAATCTTAAAGCATTCAAAATCTGGAATGTAGTAAAAATTTTAGCATGTCAAAGAATTTTAAACTTAAGGTTGTTGACTGTTAAACGTCATTAGTTAATTAACGTACGTCTTTATAAGGATTTTACGTCATTATAAAGACGTATTACTATATTTTCATGAACAAGTTCTCCATAAAAGACGTTAAAAAGGGAAGAAACATAAGTTCAAGATTCGGCCAACTGGCTATATTAAGCATTAATTTTTGTTAATTTCCATGTTTTAAATACTTAAGTTTCCTTTTCCCATTTTCAATAAAAATTTATTAGTTAATAAAAAGTGTGAAATACAAATGTAAAAATATCCCTTATATTTCCTGGTGCTCACGAATCATTAAACGAAAATTAGCTTAAATTTTTATAATCAGGAAACCATTGTCTGCGGTGTTATTATCGTCCAATAATTTATAGCTGCTTTATTACCACGATATTTTGTACGATAATTTCTTTTCTACCACGATGGTTTAGAACTGCGATGTTTCCTTCTCTGACGATGTTTTGTACGGGGCGCCTTCGTAACTATTCCTAAGCATAACGGTGCTACTCCTTTACGCAAGTCGGCCGCTGTTGCAAATGACAGAAAACTTCATAACGGTGCCTCCGCATAAGGGAATGCACGCAAACAGAAAATCAGTGTCTCACTTGAAACTTATCTCTGGGAGATGGCTTCATAACGGTGCCCCGGCATATAGATACCACACCTTTACGCAAGTTGACCGTTGTTGAAAAAGACAGAAATCTTTATAAACGTTCCCGTGACATAAGGGACTATGCACAAACTAAAGATTTGTTTCTTGTTTAAAACTGAGCTTTTTCCGTATATACCCTTATGCAAATCCGACGTTTTTCCTAAAGGTGCGCATCTGTGGGTTCCGTTATAAAAATAGCTGGCCCTGCTTTCTGAAAACGCATATTTCAAATCCTGAATTAACTGTTAATACTGGTTCCGAAAACATGGGTTGTATTGCGAAGCAATTTGCATTGAGAAATTAAAACATATTTGAAAATCTTTTGTTTTGTTTTACAGTTATTTATTTAAATTATGAATTAATTTAAAATTATTAATTGATTTAATTGATTGTTGATTTTTGTTCATATTTATTTATTATTAATTCGTTATTTTCTTTTGGATTCCTGTTTTCTCTTTCAAAGAAAGACACAATTTTTTTCAGAATTCCTAGAAAACAACTTCATTTTAGATAGCTTCATTCACTCATAGATAGAAATTCTAGTGATATATAATGTATATATCTTTTTCTCCTTTTTTTTTGTTATTTCGGGGGAAATAAAGGATAATTTATTAAATTATTTCTTTTCAAGTAGTACGATGTGAACAATTGTTTTGACTGACAAAAAATTCGACGCCCTTATGCCAATACGGGGATTTTCATAATGGTGTGGGCACTTTAATAATAATACAGCCGTTTTCATAAAAGTGAGGGCATCCTTATTCAAAGTTTCCATTTTTCATAAAGGTGCCGAAGATTTACTTCGTTCCCCGCTTAATTAATTACTCAGTAATTGAAACGAAAATCGAACTTTATAAAAATGACAAATGCTAACTATCTGTTTCAAACAAGAAACTGATGTTCAATTTTTGCGCGCTTCCTGATGCTGCTACACCGTTACAAAGTTTTTCTGTCTTTTTGAAACAGCAGTCGACTTGCATAAAGGTGCGGCACCCTTATGAAGTCGTCCCTATTGTTGGCACACTTATGCCAAGCAGTGTTATAAATAAAGGTGAGCGCACTCTTACGCAAGTCCGATTTTCGCTCCAATTACTGATTAATTAATTAAGCAGCGGATGAAAATAAATATTTAGCCCCTTTTATGAAAAACGCCGGATTAACGTAAGAGTCCCAAGGTTTTCATCAATCAGAGCAAAATTTAAGTTCTGCTTCTCGGAAAAAGGTCTTGCACTTCGATAACTTTATTTTTACTGAAGTGACTAACTTCTTTACACGTAAAGCGTGTAAAGATTTATATACATATATTTTTAACCTAATCTTTCTTTTTTTGGATCTGAAATAAATGTAGACCATAAATCTAATAAAAATGTCGTATACTAAATCTTGAATTTCTCTATCAAATATTCAATTTTTCGTACATTCTACTCAACGGTTTAAATATTCTGCCCGTGCTTTTCGGCTATGAATGTAAATGCCGATTCGAAATATGAAAATGTATTTTTAGTGTTAGTAATGGAAATGTTTCTAATTCTCCCTTTCTTATTTTCTTTTCCCGGTGTTTCCCAAATTTCTTAGCATCGCGATCTACGAGCTCTCTAGAAAAAAGAAAGCAGCTTTCTAGAAATACTATAGAAAAATTTGCTCTTTAATAAATAGAAAGAAGGAGTTTCAAAGAAAATAATGTTTTGATGGATTAATAATAAATAAATATGAATACCAATCAAGAGTCAAGTAAATCAATTACGAATTGTAAATTAATTCATAATTTAAATAAATAACTATAAAACAAAATAAAAATGATGAAATATCTTTTCACTCCTAAATGAGAATTGTTTCACGACGAAGCCCGTGTTTTGGGAACCATTATTCTAGCTAATTCAGAATTTGAAATCTACTCTTCTAGAAAGCAGAGCAAACTATTTTTATAAAAGAGCGCAGATAATAACCTTTATAAAAAAACGCCGGTGTTATATAACAGTGTTGACTATCAGTTTCAAGAGAGAAAGTGATCTATAGTTTGTGTGAGGGCCGGAGCAACTTTATGAATATTTTGTTCCAAAGCAGTTAGTCGTAACCTATTTTGAGTTGCTTTGCCATTACTGATGACATTTTATTTACTATTACTAATTACTAGTTTTTTAATTAAATTCTTGGCATCATTTTGTCTTTCCTTACTCTCGCATAGGACACAATCATCAAAATTTTACTAGATCCAAGTTTGTCGACCGTTGAGGTTTTTTACCTCTTTTGTCATATTAGGAGGACCTCATAAAAACAGTTTTTGATGCGTGCTTCAGATGATTACAATACTGGAATTGTAATTATGCTTGCATCTAAATTTCGTTTCAAAATATTTAAATGCATCATTTTGCCTCTAATCATTCATCAATAATTTACATAGTTCCATCATTTGTTCACATAGTTCCATTAATAATTTACATACATACCGCTTTAAAATGCATCATTTGCCGAAATGTAGAAACAGAGTTTTCTCTTTGGCTCTCAGTTTACCTATACCCAAACAATTTTTATTCCCATGGGAGTAATAAACATTAAATTTACTTTCATTAGTCCCCGTTACAGTTTCTAAGAAATTTTTAAACAAAGATTTCACTCAGTCGTCATTATGTAAAGATTCAATAGGTTTTTTAGATGAG